GTTAGAAAACCTGCTTACCAAACCTCTGATAGAGCTAGGAATGGGCAGAAAACTGAGTTTTAGACAAACTGTAAGAGGTTTCTATGAAAGGTTTCATACCAGTTTTGTTCTCAGTTGCCTCCCCAAATGGCCTGGAGACTGAGTGTGAATGGCTGAGCAGATCTTTTTATTACTGGGAAGATCTCCTTTCCTTTGGTGCTTGTTCATGCAAGACGAGGGTAAACAGTGTTATTGCTCCTGGGCTCTGTGAAGGCTGATAAAGAAATCTATCTGTGCTATAAAAGTCGGTGTTATAAAAGTAATACCATTAATTTCACCCTGTGAAGCGGAAAAAGGACTTTCCACAATCACTAGCTGACAGCTCCTTGATAAAACCCCCTAGTTAGGAAACCAAGGAAAAGCACAATCAGCAAATCTGATCCCAAACCCTTTTCTAGGGATTGCTTCCACAGTGTTCTTGGTCTGGGATCTGATTTTGAACTGATTAGTACAGCAATTATAAGACTAAAGCTGAAACTCAGACTTGAATCACTCTTTATGCCAAATCCTACCTTAACCCTTTAAGAATTCTGAATTTGAGCACAGTATCTTGATGTCAGGGCAGGCCTGTATGGTGACAAACACCCTAGAGCTGTCCTAACTAGCTTAATTGGCTTCTCCATGCTACCTTCTAGTGGGTTTATATTGCAGAAGGTGCTTCAAGAAGAAACATATTCTTATAGCACTGCAGTGATGCTGGATGTGAGTGGAAAAAACACATAAATCATTTTTATGGTCAACAAATAGTTATGATTTTATTGAGCAGTAGAATACACAAGGAAAAAAAAATTGTTCTTTTTGAGTTACTGATTTATTTCTTTTTAAGAATAAAATAATTAGGAGCTGTCCTATAAGGAATGCGGGGCTGATGCTTTAACAAGTCATAGAACACATTTGAAATGTTAGGGCTTTGTTAGGAAGGCTTCCTTGGGAAAGCATCTACTAGAAGAGCCCATGGCTAGGACATTACAGCTTGTTACAGAAAGAAAATGATGTCTTTGCCCTTAATGATGACCTAAAATCCAACCGGCATGATCAGCCCCAGTAGAAAGGAGTGATGGTGCCTGGAGATGTGTCCTGATGAGGCTCTGCTGGTGCTCAAAGCCTCCCAAGCCCTGTTTCAGTAAGCAGCTGGGATCTCAGACTCCTCAACTCCATGCTTAAAGGAAATAAATTCAGTGCAAGTCCCCTCATTCCCATTGTGCCTCTGCCTGGAAACATGGGGCTAGATTTCTTGTTAGCTCACAAAGGAGGCACAGATCCAGCTTTGACCTACCTCAGCCAGAGTGCAGGAGAAGCACGTGCTCTGTGGAGGACTGAAACCCTTTATTGAAGGGCACTGTGTGTGTTACCCTCATCGAGGGGGAGCTCAGTGCAAGATCCAGCTCACAACAAGGTGTCTAGTGATGTTGCCAGCCTCTGCCAGCTCCTTTGAGCCTGTGCTCCGTCTTTCTTGCCTTGTCTCTAGCATAAGCTGTTATCCAGGCAGATACCAGTGATGAATGGGAGAATATAAGACACCTGATTTCTAGCTGCTTTTTCTTCTCTCTCCAACCCCTTGGTATTTTTACTCCCACTCTATCCTGCATCCCTCCCCAGCCTGTTCCCTTCACATATCTCCATCTCTGTACTTTTTCCCCAAACACGTGCCTATTTCTGTGCTTCCCAAAGCTTCTCTTGCCTTTACTGCACTTGCTTCAGTTAACGCCTTTCTTTTCCAAATCTCTTTGACCATCCTGGTCCTCCAGCTTCTGCTCCAGTCCCCACTAACGAGAAGCAAAGCCAGTTCTTTCCTGTCTATTGTTTTATTATCTGCCCTGAAACAAGCTCTGTGTTTCCAGCTCATGGCCTCTCTCCATTGCCAAGTGCTCCTGTAGCCAATGATTTGGTTAAATAAAACCTGGCAGGCTCCCAACATGATTTCCAGCTTTCTAGTTTGTTGTTTGTGTCTCATTACAGTGCAAATGAAAGACCTTTATCAAGAGAGAAAGGGTACAAGATTTCACCTTGTTATTTTCAGAGAAATGAGTCAGTTATGGTCCTCAGAAAGCTGGGCAAAACTGGACTGAAATAGCTGTGTTTAAACCATTTTGATGGCTAACTGTAACCTGTAAAGGAACCTCATGCATGATGGATTGCTGTATACTGCCCACATTGAAGACAAAGCCAAGCAAGGTCATGGAACTTTATATCCACCTAAGTCTGCAGTTTTACTGACACTTCTGGAACCTCTCCTGTAAGCCTAATGTCATCTTGGTGCTAATTCAATACAACAAAGCAGATTGCTCCAGACTTTCAGGGCTCTTTGTCAGGGATCTGTTGGACCTGCTCCAGTTGAAGGTTGGAGACTTGCACATCAAGGCACGTATGAAACAGCTCAAATTCCAAGATAGAGGCTGGGAGTCTTTGGAGGAAAGGAAAAAACTATCTGAACCAGAGAGCCTTTGCTTGCAAAAGTAACCAGCATCTTCCATTTTCACCAGGCAAACTTTCTGCACGTACAAGTTCAATGAGTAAGAAAAAGAGGGATAGCTACAAAGGGTTGGTGACCTGTTCTTTGCAGAACAGACCTTTTTCCCTTGCAGTAGCAAGGACACTGTGTGACGCTTGGAAATCAGTTCTGACCATTACATTGCACAGCTTTTATTTCTGGATTTGAGCAACTGAACATTTTTCATGGAAAGGGAATTCTTCAAGAGTCTGAAAGAAGCAAATAGCTGGGGGGAAGTTAATACCAAGACCTTTCCTGTCCCCCCTTTCTTCCCTTTGGAACCTTCTGCTAAGGTCTTGGGAAAAAATGCCCATTTAAGAGCTGGTCTTTCCTTCTGCAGGTCCTTGCAGCATGGTTGCTCTCCTTGAAGGTTTCAAGTTCTTCCAGCCATCATCAGTAGCAGTTGATGTCTTCTATTCGGCCAGGCTGTTGTGTTGGGAGTTCTTCTGGGTTTATTTCAGAAAACCAGTCCTTACAGTAGGCTGCTCAGTGGCAAGCACCAAAGCCAAGCTGCTAAAGCAGGACTCTAGGCAGGCTGAGCTACCAGTTTCTCTAGGTATAAAAAGCAGTTTCCCATGAAGAAAGGTAAGAGAGAGAAGAGGGGGCAGCAGTAAGGAGGAGGAGGCATCTGTATTAAGAAATAAGAACTGCAAGGGTAAAAAAGTATGAACTGTCAGAAAAATAAGCTGAATATTTAAAAGATTGCATGCTGATGTTACTGTGTGCTTGTGGTCATCCTTGCTGGAGCAGAGACAGGGAGATACATTCAAGGAGTCAGAGATGCACGTATTAAGGCAGTCTTCAGGCTAGCTTGTTACTACCTGCCTGGGATATCACAGCATCCAGAAGGATGTTATTGTTTATGATATTAGAAATCAATTCTATAATTTGCTCAAAGGCTGTTTGAGCTTCAGACACCCCAGGGGCAGTAGCTTTTCATCCTAAGCATTCCTAGTGACCTTCGGGTATTGCCAGCTTAGGGGTGGGTGAGAACATCAGCCCTTTACAAACCTTACGTATTACTTGTTAGCTGAAGTTGCAGTCCTGCCTATGAATTCCCATCTATAAGAAAAGATATCATTTCATCTTATCCTCCAAAGAGAGCAGGGGGGGCAATCCATTTATTGTTTGGATTGTCTGGCTCCAGTCTTGGGAGCTGTCTCTCTTCAAGAAGCATCTTGCTGATTCTGTGGGACTCTGTCAGCATTCAAGGATTTGATGGAGAAGATCCAGTTTCAGAGCCGAGCAAAGCAATGAGGCGTGCAAACTCCTAACTTGTGTATCCCTATTGTGTGTTTTGAGTGAGCAAGGAGGCAGCTGTTGGAACTGGAGACTGCTTTGGAAACCATGGTCCTTTAGCATGAGCCTATGGGTATGTGTATTCTGTTGTATCACAGCTGAGTCTAAAGCCCTTGATTTACTTGGGATCAAGTTTCCTGTTAGAGAAGCACCTGGAAGCTGTTAAACCGTACCTCCTGATAAGCCATGACTGGATTTTGGTACTTAGGGGTTGGGCAGAAAACAGAGCTTTAGACAGCGTGTTAGAGGGCTCTCCAGAAGGTTTCATACCACCAGCACAGCCTGGTCAGCTCTGGTTTCAGAAGGGCCAGGTCAAAGGGCTGGGCAGCAACTCCCTTTGAAGGGAGAACTCCTTTTCTTGGCTGATTGTTCCCAAGAGAGGGGTAAACAAGTGCCACGGCTTCTGGCCTCTGACCAGCAGGAATAGGCATGGTCTGTGCCAGGCATGTGCAGGCAGGCGGAACCGTGGGGTACTGCAGCACACGGAACTGCTCTGGTGTGAAAAGACCATTTGTGGTTACACTGGAGCCATCACCTGCAATTAGTAAGTTTTCCTTCTATGACTTATGTTGGTCTTTTGTGTAATTTATTGACAACCATAATGCTATGCCAGAGCTGGTGCTCATTAAAGAGACAACGTCTCCCAAAAGAGACATTTTGCTGTTTAAGCCCCAAGATCTTCCGTGGACCCCTAGAAATAGGGGCTGGTTGTAAAAATACAGCTATATTAACCCTGCTGAGAGGTGGTTAGACTTTAGTTGTGCAGGGTCAGTATCACAGCTTTTCCTAAAGTGATTAGAGAAAGGAAGGAGGGAGAGAAAGGAGGAAGCTGGGCTCTGGGCAGGGCTGATGGGCATCACAGCCCACCTGAGCTCTCTGTTGTGACAGTGAGCATGGATCCTTGATAACAAAATGAAACTCTTCGCTGAGCAATTCTTATAGACAAAAGCAGGAAAGAGGAAAGAGGCAGAAGCTGACTGGGGTGTCCTTGGATTGCAAATGCTCACTGAAGCCTAACAACCCTCATAAGAGCGTCTGAATCAGGGGCTTGTGTGGTTTAGGTAGAATTAGAATGAATTTTATGAACAGAAGGTGAAGGTTGGATATTAATGCCCCTTTTTTAAACACTTCTCTCCCTCCTCTCCCAACCTTCCATTTTGTGCAATACTGGCATCACATTTCCTCCTCTGAAGCACATTTTAGATCTGTCTGGATTAAACTGGTTGCCTGAGCCCATCCCCAGTAGCAGCTGCCAAGACGGGAAACTCCCCTCCAACTGTGCACGTAGCTATAGACTGAGATCTGAGAGTAAAAGACATGTGTGTGATTTCCCCCCCATACACCCCATCCCTCCCTGTCACTCACACCTCCCCATTAAGATTCATGTTCATTTATGGAGGTAGGCATCCAGCCATAGATCTCCAGATTTCTTTAGGGACCTGTGGAAAAAAAATGGAGAAAGGTTTTTTTGGTGTGTGAATCTTGCCTCTGTCCTTTTTTCCCTACAAAGAAGCCTGTAACTGAACTTGAATACGAGTCCATAAGACACCAAATGTCTTTCCCCAGTATAGCAAGAAGAGCCAAAGTGAGAAAGAGCTTCACCTGATGCCCACTCTGTTATTCATAGCCCCTCTGGCCCTGAATAAACAGCAGAGCAGAACTGCCTGTGCTTACCATGTTGCACCTCTGAAGGTGCTTCCCTGCTCCCCCCTGGGAATTATCATACAGAATTTCCCATCTGCATCACCTCTGCAGGTATTATGTGACAGGGCTGAGCTGATTTGTCCCCCAAAGTCATAGAATCATAGAATGGTTTGTGTTGGAAGAGGCCTTAAAGCTCCTCCACTTCCAATCCGCTGCCATGGGCAGGGACACCTTGCACTAGAGCAGGTTGCTCCAAGCCCCGTCCAGCCTGACCTTAAACATTTCCACTCTGACAAAAGCCTTCAGTCAGGGCAAGTGATTGCTGAGATGGTTTGTGAGAACTCTTGTAGGGATGTGGGCACTATACGGGGGGATGCTGGACATCACCCCGCTGGGTCCCAGTGTTGCATCCATTGTCCTGTGCTAACTGGATGAGAAGAGCAAAGCAGGTTTTGAACCAGTTTTCAGCTCTTCTAAATGGTGGGGCCAAGCAGCTTTAATGTGTGTTTGCTCAGAATGGTTTGCAAGTGGAGATCTGGACTGCAGAATACTTTCTCATGTTCCCTATCATGAATTATTCCTCTTGGAGTAACTGAGACAGAAACATTAACACATAGTCTGCCTGGCAAGGGCTATTAGGTTGGTCTTCAGCTGTGCCTATAAGGAATAGACCATTGCTGCCGACAGGGCTCAGATGGAAAGCAGCATGGGCTGTAACAAGACTCATTCCCCTTTGCTTCATCTCATTTTGCAGCCTGAAGATATGCTGCCAGGTCCTAAAAGCAAGAATCACCAGGTGTCAGAAGAGCATTTACAAAGAGTCTCTATTAGATCAGGTTACAACTTATCTGAACACTAAGTGTTCGGAACTTTGATAATACTTCGGCTGCAGAAGCTGCTCTGGGGGACAGTTTCTTCCCCCATCACCTATTGCCTTCTGCTGTCACCTGATGTTAGTCCACTAAGTCAGTGGAGCTCTGTCATCTCTGCTGTGGGTCAACACTACTGTGGCTGTTCCTTGGACTATAGATATGAAGATTAGTAACGTCATGACACCAGATTACAACATATTGCCATGGTATTTCTGAAAGTTCTATAATGTCCTGAATTCTGTGTTCTAGAAAACACAGGATGTCCATGGAACAATGAATTACAAGCTGCAGATGATACTAAAAGGACCTTACCCAACGATGTCTACAAATGCTTTTCCAAGAGGCTTCTCCTCATACTGGACTCCATACTTGGCACATAATGACTTCACCAAAGGTTTTACCTTCCAGAAATTGTGCCGTGGCATTGTTGGGAACAGGCTTGAATAGAGAAAAGAGAAAACAAACCTGAGAAGACGCAAGAGACCGAACCCAAGGGATGGGCACCTCTGGCTGCCTCCTCATAGAGGCTAATTATTAATGCCTTCTCCTTAAGCTGTATAAGCAGACAAGAGAGGCACAGAGAGATACCCATGCTTTATAGTCCTCTGTTTCAAGGAGGCTTTGAAAAATGAATGCTTTGATTCTCCTGCCATGCCTCAGAACAAAGCTGTGCTCAAGAAAGACAATGAAAGGCAGTTTGTGCTGGAGAGGACACTCCAAGTGCAATACAGGGGAAGCAGGAGTGAGGAAACAGCCCCAGGCTGCTGGAATCCTGCCTATTCCCTTTGGGAAGTCCTAGATGTTTCTTGTTGAATTGAATTCCCAATGACCTCCTTTCCCACCTTTGGAAGCTCATGGAGCAGAGAAGGAGGTAAAGAAGGATTTAGGATCACCTTGCCCTCTTCAATGCTCTTTTACATTCAATGTTTTCACTAGCAACAGACTGTCCCTATGGCCCTGGTTTTAATCTCTCTCCTGGAACCTGGTATCCAACAGCATGTGCACTCCCACACAGATGCCAGATGCTGTTAAACACTGAAGTGTTTTAGGGGAGAGGAAGTTGGATATTCAAATTCCAGCAGTTAGCTTAGAATTTGAGTCCATACCATTGTAACTGGTAGAGATGTACCACTGACTCTCATTTAAACCCCAAATTAAAAGTGTGAAAGTGAAAGCTGAAGTATTTGGTAGCAGGAAAAGACGCCATGTCTGTAGTAGAAGCAGACTATGACCCCCAGGATTCTTGGCCTCTCTTTCCTTGGCATATGGTAGCGCTCCAAAGATCCTGCCCCATCCCACACATGTGTCTTTAGCAGACTTTCCCTCCCCTCATGTCCTGTGTTGTGACAACCTGGTAGTGGCCAAATGATGCTGGGTCCATACTCACTGATGCTCAATTTGGAAATTCAGGTGCCCGGTGAACCAGTCATTGAAGAAGGACTGCTCGATATTGCAGGTGGCTGCCATCTGGGAAGGCAAGAGAGCAGCTGTGAAGAGTAGTGAAGTCTCACCCTAAAGTCAGAACAAGCTCCTCTTTGCCTGTGGCAGAGTGCTGATCTGGGTCTTACTGCACTACCGACCTGTCAGAGTGCACAAGACTGCTGCTGTGAGGTAGCTGGTTGCAGCAAGGGGAGCTTTAATCCTCCTTTCAGGGCTTACTGACAACTGTTGGGCTGACCATGGTAAAAGGGACATGATCAGGAGCCACTTTATGGACATTTGGTGACAAGTAATTTAGCAGCCCAAGTATAGACTTATAAATCTCAGCCCCTTCCCTTTGAAAATCAGGTGGTTAACAACAGTACCAAGGTGGAAAATGGGAGGAAAGTACATGGACACAGAAAGCTGCTTTCCAAATCCCATCTAGTTATTGCTCACTTTGCCTTAAGCACAAGGTCTGAATATTCTGGAAATCTTAACTACTCTTGCTACTAATGATGGTAAAATTAGGTAGTCTTGCTTAAAATCCTCTTTTACTCAGAGTGGCTAAGCTGTGATTTCTACATCATAACCATAGGACACATATGCTCCTCACCCTTTCTAAGATGCATCTTAAAACCACATCAAAGAGGCCTATCTCCCTCTATCACAAACACATTTTATCCTTCTTTCCCCATTTCTCTTTCTTTTATAAGCCCCCTCCCCAAATCTCTCACTCTCACAACCTCTTTACCTACAAATTCCGGTTGCATAAGGTGCTTAAGCAAAAGCTTAAGGTGAACATCTGAATGCATCCAAGCCTTCAGTGACTCTATTCACATGCTTAATTTAAAACAAATGTGTAGGTGCTTTCCTAAATAGCACTTTTAGCACCTTTTTTTCTTGTGTTTTAGCATATTTAGCACGAGGGAGAGAAACTGACTTTGAAACTTGACCTTCAAGGCCCTGTTAAAAACTAGGAATAGTAATTATATACTAGCTAAGAAAGATGATTTCTTCTCTCAACTCAGTAATACCCAATTCCTACTGTCAGTGCCAAAGTTGCTCTCATTATCCTCTAGGTCTGAATAGGGCTTGGAGCACTGTAAATAAGAGGTATCCTTTCAGCAGAGTGGATTTATCTGCCCCTGAGGCATTAAAACGAGGTAGAAAGCATCTGGTTTTCATTTCAATCCTTATTGCTGAAATATAAACTTGAGGAATATATTGAGCTCCCCTTCAGCTTTGATTTTTGTTGGGGCTCTTCTGTTTGCTCATCTGTATCTGCTGAAATACACCACCCAGAAAAGGCAGGTCATGCTTCTTGAACCTGGTACTGCCTCAAATATAAAGTAATCTTTTGATTGTCAATTTAATTACAGAATTTTAGATTTCAATGTCTTGATCAGTATTGCAGCCTCTGAGAGAACATCTTTCTGGTATGCAACATGGACAGAGACCATATACTAGTACCTGGCGAAAAGGTAACACATAGAATCATAGAATAGTTAGGGTTGGAAGGGACCTTAAGATCATCAAGTTCCAACCCCCCTGCCATGGGCAGGGACACCTCACACTAAACCATGGCACCCAAGGCTCTGTCCAACCTGGCCTTGAACACTGCCAGGGATGGAGCATTCACAGCCTCCCTGGGCAACCCATTCCAGTGCCTCACCACCCTCACAGTGAAGAATTTCTTCCTTATATTCAATCTAAACTTCCCCTGTTTAAGTTTGAACCCATTACCCCTTGTCCTATCACTACAGTCCCTAATGAAGAGTCCCTCCCCAGCATCCCTATAGGCCCCCTTCAGATATTGGAAGCTGCTCTGAGGTCTCCACACAGCCTTCTCTTCTCCAGGCTGAACAGCCCCAACTTTCTCAGCCTGTCTTCACATGGGAGATGCTCCAGCCCCTGATCATCCTCGTGGCCTCCTCTGGACTTGTTCCAACAGTTCCATGTCCTTTTTATGTTGAGGACACCAGAACTGCACACAATACTCCAGGTGAGGTCTCACAAGAGCAGAGCAGAGGGGCAGGATCACCTCCTTGGACCTGCTGGTCACGCTCCTTTTGATGCAGCCCAGGATACGGTTGGCTTTCTGGGCTGCGAGCACACACTGCTAGTTCATGTTAAGCTTCTTGTGTGCTCTCTATATGAATCTCTAATCCATTTTGGGGTGAATGAGGGGTATCCTTTCCCTTCCCAGTTACCTGAGAGCTAAGCCAGTCTCTGTGCTTTTCGGAATCAATTTCCATTGGAATGTGATTCATCTGCGTGACCCACACAAACCAGTGACTCTCCAGAAACCTTCCAAACAAACAGGCAAGAAAGCAGAACAATTTACATTGCAGATGGGGGTAAGAGGTAAATAGAGTGGGCTTAACAGGGAGAATTTCTCTGAGGTATTGAAGTAGATACCTCTCTTTATGAGTACACCAGAGTGAATCACTTCTGTGATGGGTTTCCCAGAACCTGGAATTCTCAGAACTGTTTTCATCTTTCCCATTGCTTGATGGATATACAGTCATTTCAAAATCCACCTGCCCATTGGTGTTAGCTTTCTGAGTGCTGAGCTCAGCACACTGGAGCTCCCAGCTTCCCTTTGCTCTCTCAGTACCTATAGTGTTAAGTCTTAACTTTGCCCTAGCCTGGGTACCACTTTAGAGCAGCTCGTTTATTGCTTATGGTATATAATTGCATTTTTAGCATCTGTATAGTCTACAGAAATGCCCAGTTTCTCTATGTTGAGAATTAAATGTATGCTGACAAAGTAGTTGTCCAGAAGCATCCTTGTTCTAGTCTTTAGGCTTATTTCTGAAAGAGCATTTAATCTGAATTTGCAGTTTTGCCTCTTGTACTTTTAGCTTAATAAAAACACAGAAGTTTTGGGAATAATGGGTCAGTTGTAAGTTTTTCAGCTTGATTTCAGACTGAAAAGGTTGGCTGGGTACTTCAGGTAAGTCTCTTGAATCTCTTTTCCTTAGTTCCAAAGTGTTTTGAAACTGTGAAAACTGAAGCTACAGACACTAGATGTTGTGAAGGCAAAAGTTCTAATGCTGTGATGGGTTTTGCACATTTGTTGTAATTTCTTTTACTCAAAAAAATTTTAAAATTTTGGCTCGAGAAAATGTTTTTCACTGTGATTAAAAGTTTCCCTTAAAACTAGTGCTGACTGTGGGACTAAATGCTATCCCTTAGTACTAGCCTGTGTACAGGTCATGCAGCCTTCCACACTGGGAGAAGCAGTGAGCATTTCTCTCACAGGGGAAGCACATGCAGTGCTCAGGAGGGATCTTGAATCACCTTCCCAGTAAGCTGGGAACAAACAGAGTGGCCTGAGGCTCTCTGGAAGGGTCCAGACTTGAGCAAAGTGGAAAAAAAATGCATACGTGTGTTGGAATCAGGCAGCATGTGAGAACAGGGAACAGGGAAAGAAGGGAGAATCCTGGCTGCACCATCACAAGGGAGAAGATGCAGGCAGGGAAAGATGCTGAGCACCAGAACCAGCTCTGCTGCAGGGAGGTAGAATTGGGAGATGATAAAGAGGAAAGTGAAGCAGTGGGAATAGCAAGATAACACACAGTGAGGTCAATGACTGCAAAGAACCTAAAAGGCCTGTGGGGTACAGCGGAGCTGAGCCAGTTCATCTGGCACTGCAGGGAGGGGAGAGCAGCAGGGATGCCCTTTATCTCCTACCTGACAAAAGTGAGGAGAAACAGGGATCCCAGAACACCATAGAATGGGATGTATGTGATGAAGTAGCGTATGTAGTAGCTGATGGCCCAGGCTAGGTCCTAGGGGAAGAGAGAAGACATTAGGCATCACTTTGCTTATCTCATGTAATATGTCCTTGTTGGTGATGTTAGGACACTGGGTAATTAATGCACCAAAGTGTGATTCCTGCCCACTGGCCTCCCTCCCTACTCAAGTGTGATTTCTTATGAGCCAACCAGACCCCATGAAGATCTAAGGCACATTTCACTCACCGCCCAGAACCTGCGCTTGATCATGGTCGAGATGATTTGGATTTGGAAATACACAGGAATGAGCAGGGGTGGGAAGACTGCAAAGCAAAAGGAAAGGTTTTGGACATCAGAGGGGTGGAAAGGTGTGTGACATGAGTGAGCAGTGATATAGGACTGGGTCTAGGGAAACCTAGGATTTCCTAGGGTTAGGAACTAGTTCTGGTTCTGCCTAGCGCTGGTGAGAGTAGTGAAAGGTTGCCTTTCTGTGAAGAAAGGAGGCTCTCCTGCACACCCATTCATCTTGTCTTATCAAAGAGCAATGGCAACATGCATTTTTCCCATGGAGCCTCTCACACAGAAGTTATTTCCCAGTCTTAGCTGGGAATTGCCATACTGGCAATGTTCAAGATGCTTGGGTATCACTGAAGAATACACTGAACTGATTTTGGGACCTGCTCAGGGTATAGTCATCCTGAGGATGAGTTGAGACTTCAGGAGTTGCTCTGCTAACATAGTAGGGGCTGGAAAGGTCCACTGGAATTCAGGGAAAAAGGAAGAGTGCAGATACTCACTGAAGAAAAAGTACTCGTGCTGGTGATTGTAAGGCAGGTACTTCAGTTTCTTCTTGCCATACTGCAGAACACAGAGGAGAAAGCTCAGGATTGGAATAGGACACATGAAAGAGAAGATTCTCTGCAATACTTCTTTAGTTATTGAGTGAAGAGTTTTGCCTAAACTCCCACCACCACGTGTTTTTGTATGGTTAGATACATCGACTTTCTAATTGTGATAGGTGGAAATCTCTTTAAAAGGTCTTTTAGCTTGATATGAATATAATTTTTATTGTATTTTTTGCAGGTTCCCATTTCTTTTCAGCACCCATCTCTATAGTGAAATATCTGCAGCTATACATATGTGTCTGTTTTGAGCTGCAGGAGTGATCACACAAGGGGCTAATGCATGGAGAATCTGGATTGCTTTGAACCTGTATTTTTGCTTCCAGCATAACAATTTCTCCATGAAGGTAAGTCTTATAGCACCAATACATCAGGCACATCATTCACTCTGGTCTGGGCTCTCAATGGCTGTCTTTTTAGCATTGCCTGTAAAAGGGTTATATGCAAGTATGAAGGACTATTGGGATAGACTGATGCTGACCTAATATTTCATATATTTTATAGGAAGAAGATCCAGTTTTCCTTGTCATAAATGTTTACATCCTTAGATTTTCCTTTAAGTGCTGCAACCATGGTCTGCTTTTAAACCCAGTTATCAGGCACAAGATTTAAATGGGTGGTACCCACACATTTAAGAGTGCAATACTAATTTACATCTTCTTGATAGGGGCTTTTTTACACCCCAGGAGAAGGCTTTCATTTTAGCCACATAGAAGAGCCCTTCTGCCTCTTGAATATTCTGTGTGCAAGACATTCTCTATACATGTCCATATACCAGTGTGTATGTCCCCCTACATGTGTCTGGAGTTCCTTTCTCAATAGTACAAAAGCTGGCTGAGAAACCCTTAACTTTTCAAGTTGTATTCCCCTGCGTTGTCTTTGCTGCAAATGTTCCTGCATTTTGTGTTCTTTGGTTTGTCTGTTGTTTTTAAAACCAGAGATCTTTGTTCCATTGTAAAAAAGACCACGAATGATACACGGTTTAAGTGCTTTGTCTAGGTTTTTATAGAGTAGGTAGTAAATTTGTTGGCTCTAGAAGGACATATTGAGTTACAATCCCTTAAACAGGCTGTTACTCCATGTGCACCATGTCAGTATGTAGTTAATGTAAGAAAGGAAGAAGTTACTGCTTATGCAAGCAACATCCCTTTAACTGCATGGCAAAGGCTTCAGTGGTGAGGGGCTTGTACAGACTGTTGGGGGCACAGCAGGGCTGACTAATATTGGAAGGTATTTTCTGTGGAAATGGAAGATCAGTTTTGGAACACTGTTGATGAAGTACTGAGGAACACAATTCTTTTCCTCTCATGTTGGTATTTCAAGCCAAAGGGATGAAGTCGTCTTTAATGGTTTTCTACTTTCTTTCCGATCCCACCTTACTGCTTTTCCCAAGCTACCCCAAAACACTTTCTTCCATCATCAGTATAGGTAATGGATAGGGAATGACACAGTCAATCTTGCTCTTCAGCCCGAGGTTTGGGAGGGTCTGATGGCAAACTCCTATCAGACAACATTTCATCAGACAGATGAAATCCCTGGATGAAGCATTTCCCTTTCCAGCGTTCCTGTAAATCATGTCTACCAACACTAGCCAGCTCCTGGTTTTGCACAAGCATTCTCTGAAGCCCTTTAGAACAATGGTTTTCCACGGTTTACCCCCTTTCCCTTACCTCAACAGGCTGCGTATCTCCAAGGACAAAAATATGCAGCATGTTGACATCTGGGTCCTTCTTGAAGATGTTGGGCTTGGCGTGGTGTTGGAAGTGACGATGGTTCCACCAGTTTGCAGAGGCACCCTGGGCAGATACAAGACCATGGGAAACTACAATTCCTCTAATGGTAGGATTACCCATTCATTAATATAAACTACAATGGTGCAACTCAGATTATGGCCAAGCTCTGATTCATTTTTGAGACAGCAATAAGCAGTAAGTGGCCAAGGTGTCAGTTGCTGTGAGACTGCTGGATTCAGAGGGCTGCTTTACCCTTACTAGGGATCATCCAGATTGAAAGAACAGGGAATAAATACACTCTGAGTTGCATGTCACCATATCTTCCCACATGTGAAGTTGTTATTAATAGCTGTTGTTAGTTGTTATTAGTATTCATGGAATCATAGAATCATTTAAGTTGGAAAAGACCTTTAAGATCATCAAGTCCAACCATTAAACTGACACTACCAAATCCACCATTAAACCCTCTTGATGTCTTACTAATTATTGTTCTGGTTTCCCTCTGCTGGAACCAGACAAGATGGAGTGGGTTCGAGAGAATGGGCAAAGCTGTGTCCCACCCTCTACAAGCTCCTCCTGAAGGCAGATGCTGAAAAGCCCAGAATGAGGATAGAAGCTGAGGATAGAAGTTCTGAAGGCATCTTGAATGGATGGTGGAGAGCATGGTGAAAACATGACAGGATGTTAAAACAGGGGTTTATGCAATGTAATAAGCTTTGTCCTCAAATGCTATAAAATGGTGCAGTTCCACTGAACCTTGTGGAACTACTGTGTTCTGTAATAGCTATGATTAGGGTCCCTTATCTCTTCTGCACAGCAGCACCATGTGCAGTGGTCACTAACTTCTCTGCTGGGCATCTCCTCACTATAGAAAGACTTAGAGCTGCCGTTTCCTACTTTAACCTAGTCAAAGTGACTGCAGTTGTTTCCACAGTGCACTGGGTCCATAAAGTCCTTTACCTTCAGGTGTCCAATGACAAACTTGTGGAGGATGTGGTTCCAGGAAGACTTCTTAAAGACAGAGAGGTGTCCAAAATCATGTTGCAGCCACCCTGCCTGGGCCTAGGACGAAGGGAAATCAAGCATTTGGAATCAGAGTTAAGCACAAAAGGAAATTGAGATAGAAGACTAATTTTGAGTGTAAGGAAGAGAGGGAAATAACTGAAGTGAGAAGCTGAAGATCTCAGTTTTCGCTCTGGAGGAGAACACAGAATCATAGAATCATTGTTTGGAAAAGACCCTTAAGGTCGTTGTGTCCAACCATAAGCCTAACACTACCAGGTCCACCAACATGTGGAAGGAAAGGCCAAAGAGGTGAGAAAAATGTGTGAGCCACCATCATCAGTGGGTAGGGGTGGCCAGAAGCCACTGGCACCACAGTGGCAGGTATGTTGGGAATGGTTTTCACTGATGTGAATGTTCTGCTCTAGTAGCTGGCCTTCTCTGAATGATTTGAGGAGCCAATATGCTCGGTGCCCACCATTTCTCACCTGGCAAGTTGTAAGGATGCAGGAGAGGATGAAAGTTGTGATCCAGCCATTACCAAAGTATGAAACCATTAACCAAGCCAACACTTCCATTACAATAATATGGCCCAAGTAAAGAGAGAAGAACAAAGGATTTGCTCTGAACAAGTCCATGTCCTCTACTGTCTTCCTCAGGGTCCGGAAATCCTCCACCAGCTGGGACTGCAAACAGACATGGAAGACACAGTGTGAAGCTTATAAGTAAATCTGAATGAGCCTAAGGAAGTCTAAGGCTAAATAAAATGCTAAGCATCCTGGCTGCTTTTTGTGTTGGTTGGCTTCTCCAGAAGTAAGGAAGAACCTGCCTCCATATTCACCCTGTATTCTAGCTTTTCATAGCAATTCCCTATGAATAAACATCCTGGCTGGTCTGAGCCTGTATCCTGGCATTTTGAACCTTGAGCTAAGAGAGCAATCCAAGCCTTCAGCTGTGAATCAGCAGCACTACCTGGCTGTGTTGAGAGTTACATCAGCTGATGACTCTCATCTGAATGAGCTTTACAAGTACTAAAGAGACAGCTGGAGAAAGAGATAATGTGATCCTATTACCTATGCATAATTCCAGAGCTCTGATGATTAGCACTCAATATCAGAGCACCCATCATCTATTTAATATGTGGGTCAGGTACTATGCAATCATTCAAGAAGAGCATTCCTGAGTTAATGCACCATTGTCTCTTCTACTGTGAGTGATACAGATATATCATAATCATGGCTAGTCACAGACAAGGGGACAGGATTGAGTTTCGCAGCAAGAGCTAATCATGCCCTGCTCTGTGCCTGAATAATGGATGAACAGACTGTCTGGGAGGGATACAGAGATGCCCTGAGGATGCTGAGTGGGAAAAAAAAGGGTACTTGCTGGGTTGCTGCTCCTTAAGCACGGCCACCAAAATGAGACATTGCTTCTCCTAACCCATAGGTGCCTACTGCTCATGCCATGCATGGCACAAATGTGGCTGCTCTCCAGAGCTTTGCTCATACTGGTCTCAGCAGGATAAGCCAGTTTGAGTCTCAAATACGTGTTTTCCTAGGAGCTAATCTGTCAAGGGAGCTGCAGAGTGAACAGTGAAGAGATTCAAGTCTTGTTGAGGTGCTGAGCAATTAGTTTGGAAGTCTTTACAAATTTCCCTGCCTACTCCTCTCCTTTCCCCATAACAGGCAAGTGGTGATACGTGTTTTAGAGCTCGGTCGCCAGGGAGGGAACAGCAGAAGGGACACCAAGAGGTGGTGCATATTTCCTAGTCCACATGTACAGCCAGTCTGAATGTGTCACCTCCCTTCCACACACTTTTAATCTATACTGGGATGTGCATATTGCTACATGCAGATGTTCAGTCATGGACCACTTTTCTCCTCTGGAGCTTTATAATCTGCCTCTGACCTGTAGGACATCCCAAAAGGAACAAAACAGGGAACATGCCCATCAGAACCCCTAGCTCAGAAACAAATACTCACGTTTTTATCTCGGTCCTGGCTAGGTTCCCCTGGAGCAAGCTCTCCAATAAGTAATGGCTTGAGAAACTTCTGCACCAAGGTTGGATTGATGTGGAAAGCCTGGAATGCATCCTGGAGTGGGAATAGGAGTAATTGTGTGAGATTCAGGAGTAAGCTCTTGCTTCCTACTTGCGTCATTCCCATCCATATCCAGCACTGTCCTCCTCTGCAGTCATCCCCACTATGTTACTGTGAAAGAGGTGTGTCAGAGTGGCTTCCACCTCTGTTATCATTGTCAGCACAGCACTTCTACCAAAGGCTGACGAATTTGCCTATCTAGTAGCAAGCAAATGGTGAGACCTGGGATGTTACCTAGCCATATGGTGAAAGGCACCTCAATAAATGTTTTCTAAGCAACTAAATACCTAAATCCTGTTAATTCCCTCAGAAGGTAGTAGGCAGAGAGGAATTTGTGCAAATCCCCACAAGGATATAAATACCTTTTCAAAGTCTGCTGCCTGGAGGAGGCAATTCAAGAGAGGGGGTGACTGAACCTGGACATGACTGCAGATACATAAAGTATTGCTGGATGGTTTGGCCAGACCTGCAGAGGCACTAACATAGCTAAGGAAAAAGTGGTGACTCCTCATTTTGGAGACTGCTTTTCTCCTTTTGTTCTCTAAGATGAGTAACCAAATGCTACCTTAACTTTTCTTTATTCTAGAACCATATTCTAGATATAAAGGCAATTCCACCTCCATGCAAGTCCAAGTAAAATGTCTTAGAAAGGAATCAACCCAAAAACTCTGTTGTATACCAAAGCTTTAAAGCAATGGCTTTAAAGTGCTTGTTACCAAGCTTTGCAGTGGCTAAGACCACATTCAAAAAGAGACCTACACCATAAAGCAACTTTCCTCATCCTAATAATGCTAAGCAGGTTGAAGAGATTACAGCTATCAATATGCATTACAAGACTTCTTGTCATTTACAGTGCTGTGGTATATGGCTGCTTGTCCCTATAAGAGGCTCATTAATCTTTTGCAAGGCTGCTTCTATATTTTCTATTCAGTGCATGCCTTGAATATTGGGTACATTTTACTGAAGCCCCTCCAACATGTGATAAGAGACATAAATAATGTGTTGAGTTTCAGCAACAGAATCTAACTGGGGGATGAAACTCAAGGTTGAGGAAACTTGTGAAATAAATCCTGTGCCCATGGAATCCTGAGGCTGGAAAAGCAGGAAACACAGCTGGAATATTATTTTCCTCACATATTTTCAAGACTTCTAATAGGGAAGGACAATGCTTTGGTTGTGGAGTCTTTTGGATCCTGGCATTCATGAGTTTGCCTGGCTCTTCTTTTTCTGTACTCCTTCCCTTTTCCACACGTTTTTTGCCTACCTATGTCCTGCAGATGCCTGACGGGAGCATTTATTTGATGCATCTGCTGCTCGTAGTGAAATCTTGCCTACCCCTCCTTTCACATGGCTTGAATTCTAGTTGCAAATACAGTGGTAGGAACAGAAAGTTGATCAAGATCAGAAACTGTCACTCTGTCCACATCCTTTTCTTGACTACACAGAACTAGAGTTAACTCTAGAAATTCACCTAGGAGAGGTATAAAGATGTAATTCCATGTAGTGCTAAGACCGGTACATCAAAATCAGCCAAAAACAGAAGTAAGGAGTGCCATGCTTCAAGCCTTTCCACCTTTGTCGCATTGCTTAACAACTGCAGAGACCAACTGAAATCTCATTTCTGGCTCTAAACACAAACTGGTCAGTATTCAGTGTGTCTACCTTACTCTTCTGAGAGTTGACCTCCATCAAAATCTGGCTCTGGTGTTCAAAAATACCAGCCAACAACCTTGGTCCCAAAGTCCACCAAAATCAATAGGAACTTTCACCTCATTCCAAGACTCTGGATTGAGCTTTGGAATAATACCCTGACCATAGAACTTTTGCTGTGGGAGGCATATAAGGAGGGAGAGTGAAAGCTGATCTCAGCCATTTAACTTGAAGTTAAAGAAATGATACACGAGAAGTTAGAGCTGCAGCATTGGCAGGGGGGGTGAGGGGAGAGAAGAGCTACTACAGGTGCAGGAGAGAAATAAAACCCTGGGGAATGGTTTAAAGATTAAAAAAGCCATAAAATGCCAGAGTTTGGGGGAAGAAAGAAGGGGGGGATGTCATTCCAATGGGAGAGGCAAATTGAAATACCAGAAATGAAACTGAAGTGCACTTTTTCTGTAAAGCACCAGATTTTCCTCATACCAGTACCCAAACTATCCCCTCTGAGAACCAATTTAATAGACAAGTGATCCCTGTTGCCACAGGGAGATGTTTGGATCAATTTATCCATGTTCTCTCCTGAGGAGTGCATCACTGGTAAAACTTAGCCTGGCACAAGTGGGACTTTTTGACTTCATTGGGTTAGCCTCTGGTGTTACTTTATTGGTGCCAAAATGAATGAGCAAAGCTGTTTCCAGAGCTACAGACAATTGGAATTCCCCATCCAAAGAAATACTTGCCCCAAGTCACCATATTCCTTCTCTACTTTGAGGAACCTAACTTGCTTTACCATGATTTATGCATACTTCTCCCTTTCTGGTGCTACTATCACAGCCCATCTGAGGTTAAGGAACACCATCCTCTCCTGATGGCACAGGCCATGCACAAAGTTACAACTAGTAGCAGACCAGCCTTAAGCCTTTTTCACTAGTCCTTCAGTTACTGCAGCATTTTCAGCTCTCAGACCCATAAATGCCACTGAAATGTGTGAGCAGAATGAGTTGGAAAAAGCTGACTGTACCTGCTGCAAGGTTTTGCAATTTGGGGCAAAAAAAGGGCAAGAAGGGGAAAGAGGGAGAGGGTCGACACATGAGAAGCATTACAGAATGTTGATTCAATATTATTTAAAGTAAAGAAAAAGCCTTTGGAGGTCTGACCAGGTATTGCCTGGAGATCTCACTGATTCACGTTGTATGAATTGGGGTTGACTCAGAACAGCAGCTTCTGCCTGACCACCTAAAAGGTATTTTAGTCTACCTGGGGCCTCCCTGCCAGTACCCATCTGTTTTCTAAACATGTTTATAAATGCTCTGACATGACTTTCCCACAGGCAGTTCTGCCTCTGAACCCAGTTCCTCACTTTTTATAGATGGGATGAAAAGTAAAGGTTGGAACTGGTCAGAAAAGCCATCATGCACGTCAAAACACAGCTGTTACTCAAAACTACACTACTATCTTCCACTTCCATCACAAGCCTATGCCATGAGGGAAATGCTGGCAGCAGGAAAGTTTTACCTTCACTGACAAGTAATACACACGTATGTCATTGATATATGTAGAGAATGGGCTTTTCCAGTATAGCCTCCAGGCACGAGAAAAACATCACCTGAATACTCTTACCATCATCACACAGGATTGCTTTTTATTAGCTACATCTCATGCATCTCCTTCACTAATAGGTCCCAAACATAAGATACTACCTGAATTTTGGAATTGTCCTCAGTTCTGTTTTCTAGAGGAGATAAAGAGCGAAAGGCATAACATAGTCTTTGGGAAGTGCCATATGATATTTACACCTGACCTCCCAATTTTGTGGTCTGCTGGCTAATAAGCTTTGTATTATTGAGGTATGAATTGTACATGAGCATTTGAAGTGCTTAGTGCAGTCAGTACAAGGATGTTCTTTCACATCCTTGAACATCTCTGGAACAGAGAGACTGCAGGGTGCCTTTGCACACTCTTGCCTTCATTTTCTGAAGGCAACTGTGCATGATGTGATACCAAGACAGGTTGCCCCAGAGAAGTATGCTGTCTCAGGGTGTTAAAGCATGGCCGAAAACGAATGAACGCTCAGTGTTGTTAGTATGTGCAGGGGAAATTCATGCATAAGCTAGCATGGAAACCCCTAACCTGAGCTGAGCATGCAGAACATGACAGCTATCCTGGAAGCTTCTCACCTTGTCCTGTGAGCATCCTGAGATGAATTAGCTCATGTATCACCAAGCAAGATAGAGTGGCCAGGCATGGGTATAGAGCTCAGTGAGTGTTTCAGTGGGCAGCTTGTAGTAGATGGATACACCCTATCCTCTAGAGGACTGGTAAATGGACAAGATGCTGAGGTTTTACCCTCCAATACCTAAAGGGAGCCTACAAGAAAGCTGGAGAGAGGCTTTTTACAAGGGCAGGTACGGACAGGACAAGGGGGAAGGGCTTTAAACTGAAGAGTTTAGATATTAGGAAGAAATTCTTCAATATGAGGGTGCTGAGGCTCTGCCATAGGGTGCCCAGAGAAGCTGTGGCTGCCCCATCCCTGGAAGTGTTCACGGCCAGGTTGGACACAGGGGCTTGGAGCAAGCTGCTCTAGTGGAAGGTGTCCCTGCCGTGGCAGGGGTCTGGAACTGGGTGAGCTTTAAGGTCCCTTCCAAACTAAACCATTCTATGGTTCTACGTTTGCTGGACTAGAGGTCCTCACTGCACGTGATGCTGAGGAGAATCTGAGAAAGATGGAAGCCACATACAAACTAGGAACATAAACATGTTCAACTGAAGTTTTATCATTGCTTTTTCCTCCTCCTAAACTCTTCCAGTCGTGATATCTTGCAACACAGAATGAAACTTGTTAGTTAAGCCTTGACAGGGTCAAGGCCAAGACTTGCTCACCCTGAATGAGACTTCTTTTTGGCAGTAAACTGTTATTCACCACAGGGAAGCTGGAAAACAGATGCCAACTTGGTTTTATCACTCAGAGCTGTAATTAACAATTTCAGAGTATTCTTAAGACTGTGCCTTCATAGAGTGTGCTCTTGAGTATAGTGGGATGCAACCTACAGTGGGAAGGTGGATCTGACGAGGGCCAGCAGCAAGTAGAATCAGAAACCTGTGGTCCTTTCCTGGTAAGGATTGGAGACAAATGCAATAACAGATGCTTTTTGGTTTCAAGTGGAGATACTGGAGTTAAATTCTTGGGGATAGGAGTCAAACTCCTCTGGTTTCAGCAGGGCTGCATTTAAGCAGCTGAAAGTAAAACCTGGCCTATCTTTTTGAGGGAGAAAGCTATTCATTCACAGGATTTACTGGAAGGGGGACAGGAATACCAAAAGGCATCTCAGGAAATGAATGGAAATGAATGCTTCAAGGAAACGAATGGAAAATAGCCACAGAGGACAGGCAAATGGAGATGGATGGAAAGCAAAGGTTAGTAAATCTTGCCAATTAATTCTGCCACACACAGAGCCTCCTCCTTGCTAAGGTGTTAAGAGCAGTGGGGGATGAACAGTTAATGCTGCAGCTTGGCCTCTCCTGCCCTTACACAGGTATTGGAACAGCTCCCAGGCAGTAGGCATTTTATTAACTAGGGGCTAATAACACCCTGGGGAGAGAAGTTGTTCCCGGATGCTCTTCTGACCAGGGTGCAGACAACAATCTGAGGCAATTTGTTCCTTTTTCAAGGGATTCTGTTTGGATGGGTTTGTTTGTTGGGGTTTTGAAGTTGCTGAAACATGAAGCAGCTGAACTCAGCTAGGAAAAGCATTAGCAAAAGGCTGGGTTTTTTTCCCCTTTTCTGTAGAAACCTGTAGCTAAATTCTCCAGAGGATTCTCTCCTGGAGTAAAAAATAAAGCTAAAAAGCTCCTTGTTTTAAACCTCAAGCTCACCTTCCTCACAGAAACAACTTTGAAACACAGCCTGGCCTCTCCTTAACCCTTTCTTGCGCTTGGCTGCTCTGCATCTGCATGTCATAAGCTACACACTGAAGAGGGGGAGATTTGGGATGCCTCCACTCCTGAATTTAGAACTCCAGATACAGCACAAACAAGAGACAAAGACAAAACAGCGAGGCTTAAAGCAGAGCCGAGCAATCTCTACCGACCAGGTCTTGCAGATGCTGCGAATCGCCATGGCTCAAGCCAAGGAGCTGCATGTATTTGGACCAACCTTTGCGCTCCTAAAAGCAGCGAAGGAGATGAGCTGGGTGTACAGCGAGTGTTAGAGAGGTTGGGGGGGGGGGGGGGGCAGAGAAGCAGGCGGCTGGCTCGCTCCTTGGGGAGCACCGGGAAGGCGGTGCCCTGGCAGGGGGGATGCTGCTGAGCGCCGGGATGCAGCCGCGGGAGTGTCCGTGCGTTGGGTCCTTACCGTGGCATCTTCGCCGGCCCAGTGGCTGATCACTCGCTGACCCCCCGGGTGTCTGTTTGCCCACTTGGTGACATTATAAACCTTTCGCTCTATCACCAGCCACTTGTCCGTCCTCAGGTTGTGCTTCTGGATCTCCTCCCAGGTGTAGAAGCGGAGCTGCGCCTCCGGCTCCCCCGACCCCCCTCCTTTCTCCCCACCTTTCCCCATGGAGCCACTTGCCGCTTTGTCTTCTCGCCCCCAAAAAAAGAAAAGGGTGTAGAGGGGACACACGCAACCTGTCCCTGGCTCTAACCAGGAATGCGTTTGCCGCGCGGTTTAACTCAGCTGATCCCCTGCCCTCTCCCTTCGCTCATGTCCTCCCTCCTCTTTGTCTGTCGCTTTCCCGGCCCCCGCCGTCTCCCCGCTCCACCGCCTGCTCGGAAGTGCCCCCTGCGCTGCTCCTCCCGCACTGATGCACTTTCTCCTCGCACATAGCCCCGTTTAGTGGGGAAGCTCGGCCCCTTTTCCCCCCTCGGCATCCCCCCCCCGGCACCCTCGGTCCCGCCGGGGTTCCGCCGGGATCAGCAGAGCCCCGCCGCCAATCCCGCCGCTGCCGCCGCCGCGCCCGGCCCGGCCATTGGCCCGGCCCGATCTGTCGAAGGGTTCGCACCGGGGAGGGCGGCGGGGCTATGGGGAGGGGGGGGGGGGGGGGGATGGGGGGGCACCCCTCTGCTGCTGCTCCTCCTCCTCAGCTTCTTGGCCTCGGGATTTTGGCTCCTGCTTTCAGAAGCTTCCCCCCGCTTTTGTTTGTTGGTTTTTTTTTTTTTTCTTCTTTCCCTATCCCTCCCCCCCCCCAACCCCATTTTCCTTTTTTTTCTCTTTTTTCTTTTAATTTTCTCCCCTTTTTCTCCCCCTTTTTTTCCCGTTCCCCCTTCTCCTCCTTTTTCCCCCTTTCTCTTCCTTTCACCCCTCTTTTTATCCCTTTCCTTTTTTCTCCCGTTTTCCTCCTTCCCCCCCTTTTTCCTTTTCCTGTTTTTTCCCTTTTTCTCTTCTTCCCCCCCCTTTTCCCACTTTTCCTCCCTTTCCCCTTTTTCCCTCTTTTTTTCCTTCCCCCTCCGTTCCCTTTTCCCTCGTTTCCTCTTTTCCCCTCCCTTCCCCCTTTATTACCCTTTTCTCTCTTTTACCATTTCCCCCCTTTTTTCCCTTCCCCCTCTTTCACCGTTTTTCCATTTTCCCTTTTCTCCCTTCTATTCTTATTTTTTTCCTTTTTTTTTTCTTTTTCCCCTTTTCCCTTTATTTTTTTTTTTCCTTTTTCCCTTTTTAATTTCCCTTTTTTTTTTCCTTTTTTTCTCCCTTTCCCCCTTTTCCTTTTTCCTTTCCACCCGCCCTCTTTTTTTCCTCCCAGAACTGTCACCTCACCTCTTGCTATTGACCTTAGAAAGCAGATTCTTGCTACTCCGCCTGGAATTAGCGCTGTTTTGCTCTGTTTTGTCATGCTGAATTACCCACCGGATGGCTGTCAGACCTGACAGCTTGCTTTTGTCCCTGGGAGAGCAGTTTGACAGCAGGCGAAGCTCGAGAGCTCCTGCTTAGGGCGATGCTCTCATTACCAGGTGGGACTGTGCCATCTTTTCCTTGCCTTGGGGCATCTTTATTCTAAACTTATCTCTGTCATTAAGTTACACAAGGTGTTGTGGTGCAAGGGCAGAAACAATGGCACAGGATCTCCACTGCTGCCTTTTTTATGCCTGAAGGTACCTGCAGTTGCTCTCCAGGGAGAGGCAGTTGTGACCCAGAGCTCTCCTGGCCATAGGTGTCTTTTCTTGTGACCATTTTGCGTTAATAAATAGAGTTTTTATTAATCCTTTCTGCAATGGCTCTGTCTGAGTCTAAGCAAATTTAATATACAAGATGTTAAAACGTTTTGGGGTACTGACTGCATTCCCTAAGAGCATTCTGGTGTATGATCAAACTTAGGATAGGAGCAACACTGCCTTCTGGTAGCTCAGACCTTTATTTACCTCATCTTTCAACCGCATTATGTTCCGACCTGGAATGAAAATGCAGGGGAAGGAATTCACATAGTTAAAGATCCAGTGTTTTAATTCACACTGTTTATTTGCTCTCTAGCCCGCTATCATATCTTGTTGCTGAAGGACAGCATAGGATAAGAGACCACCTCCTCAAGTGAAACCAGAAGTGCCTCCCGCCCTGGTGCTGCCGTGCTTCTGTCCAGCCCCAGCCATAAACAGTCTTTTCCTGTGGCGCGGGGGTGAGGAAAGCCAGAAATGAAAGGAATGTTTTCCTAAGACTTGCTAGTTTTATTTAGCTTGGTTCAAAATAGACCTCCGACAAGGACAACAATAAATGTCAGCAAGACACTACATTAAGGTGGACCTGAAACTCATTGCTTGTGATGTGGGATAAGTTTACCTGGAAAGTTTCTGTCCTGAGTTCTTTGAATTCGAGGATTTTAATCTTATGGGAGATTCTGCATAGCATGTTGGATGCTTTAACCTTTGTAATGCTAAACACGTTCCCTCTGTAGCCTGCTTTTCCCTTGTAACCACACACCTGGACCAAGTTTTCCTCAGGGCCCTCCACAGATGCATTTGGATGTGTTTTCTGCCTTGTTTCTCCTAAAAATTGATAACTACGGGTAAGAGAAACATCCTTTCTTTCACGGTATTTTTACCCTTTGCTTCATAGCTTTTAGTTTATAACTTTAGAACATGCTGGATAATACAATAGATAAACTTACATATCCAATATCATGTGTAGGTTACATGTGCATGGAGCATGCAATTTCTGCCCCTTATGAAGTGTGATCCAGTCAGTGCTAGCATCATCTCAGTAACGAGTTTAAGTGGGTTTGGATAAAAACTGTATTGTTACTACTGGAAAACTGCTCTGTGGATTCCCTGGTCCATTGTAGAGAACACCCAGAAGACAACAGTTTTCTGGAAGACCCCATTGCTTCTGTTCCTGGCTGGCCACTGGGAAGATGGTTTTCCTTCTCTCTCATTTTCTCTCCTTGTTTTGGCTGTGGTTTTGTTTTGTTTCTGTTTGGTTTTATGTGTTTCATTTTTTTCATTGGGGTTGGTTTTTTTGGTTGTTCTCCCCCTTCTTAAAACAGCTTTGAGGCCCATGTATGCCATGAATGCTGGATTCAGATATATATATATATTCAGAGCAGCCCTGCGGAGAAGGACCTGGGGGTGTTGGTTGATGAGAAAATGAACATGGGCCAGCAGTGTGCGCTTGCAGCCCAGAAAGCCAACCGTATCCTGGGCTGCATCAAAAGCAGTGTGACCAGCAGGTCGAAGGAGGTGATCCTGCCCCTCTACTCTGCTCTCGTGAGACCTCATCTGGAGTATTGTGTGCAGTTCTGGTGTCCTCAACATAAAAGGGACATGGAACTGTTGGAACAAGTCCAGAGGAGGCCACGAGGATGATCAGGGGCTGGAGCACCTCCCATGTGAAGACAGGCTGAGAAAGTTGGGGCTGTTCAGCCTGGAGAAGAGAAGGCTGCATGGAGACCTCATAGCAGCCTTCCAGTATCTGAAGGGGGCCTATAGGGATGCTGGGGAGGGACTCTTCATTAGGGACTGTAGTGATAGGACAAGGGGTAACGGGTTCAAACTTAAACAAGGGAAGTTTAGATTGGGTATAAGGAGGAAGTTCTTTCCTGTGAGGGTGGTGAGGCACTGGAATGGGTTGCCCAGGGAGTTGTGAATGCTCCATCCCTGGCAGTGTTCAAGGTCAGGTTTGACAGAGCCTTGGGTGCCATGGTTTAGTGTGAGGTGTCCCTGCCCATGGCAGGGGGTTGGAACTTGATGATCTTAAGGTCCTTTCCAACCCTAACTATTCTATAATTCTATATATGTATATATATACAGTTGTCTTAGGGAGAGATCTATGTTTAGTGAATTTAAACAACTGTGCTGAAGATATATTTCTCAGTCATCTTTGTGGGACCCCTATGCAGTGGCTTATGGACTCTGAGCAGTCTGCAGACCTCTGGTTGAGAATCAGTGCAGATAAAGATCTATCACTGGTTTTTGTCCAGCTGTAATTTATAGCATATCTATTGGATGATGTGGATTACTTTAATATTTCCACTTCTGGCAGCATTTCAGAACAAGGCAACATCTCTTGTTCCTGCAAAGTAAAATCATGTACATTTGTAAACTGGTGGATCCTGATGATTTTCCTGCTAAAGGCAGCTGGTTCTCTGGTTTCTGTGACTATGCTGAGAGGGACCACAGCTCTGCTTTGAGCCAGGAGGTTATACTGGTTGAGTTGCAGCGCTCTGGAGGTCCTTTGCAAGCTATATGACTTTATAATCCCATACAGAATAAGACTGCAAAACTGAGGAATGTAGAGATGTTTAAGAAAATGGAGAGAGTTACTGGACAACATAGAGAAAGCGATAAGGAAACATATAATTGATTATTTTAGGCTGCATTTCTTCAAGCTTCACTTATGGTATTTCCCTGTACGAAAGCAGGGAGGATCCACTGCAAAGGCAGATTTTTGGGAAGAAAATTAACTTGCAAATTCATGAACTAGTTTTATTTGTTCAATGTCCTCATTAAAGGTTGTGTCCTCTATGTCCACAGCTAGATTCAAAGCCATGACTTCTTTTAACTAGTAGAGATAATGATACGTATGATTGGTAACTCACAGTGTTGTCTGATGGTCATAGTCCACCAGGTGACCGCTCCACAAGAGCAATGTAATAGTGTTATTGAAATTGGCACCTATTTTGTATACAACAAGCTTTATCAATCAGTCCATGGAAGTTCATACTTCAGAGCTGGTCACTTTAGCCGTGGATAATCTATACAGGGCTGGCTACATGTGGAAACACTGGGCTTGAGCAGTCTGTTTGCCTGAGCAAATCCTCCCTCTCGAGAAATGAGTATGTAGATGGGTATATTTTGGAATTGGCTCATGTTAGACGGACACAGGTGTAAAATCTGCACACAGAACTCCCCATCTGGACATTTCACATCGATAACTGTGTAATAACTTAATGCCAAGTCATCAAAAGGTGCTTATCAACCCCCCGCCACTGCTATCATCTTCTTGCAGCACAGCCTGTAACGCTGTCAAGGCTTTCTGCAGCACTTGTTCTAGGTTTTGTTTGGCTCCGGGGACACAAACCAGCCAAGGCAATGAGAGGAGAACAGACTCTCTTCTGTGGCCAAGTAGGTGAAAGGCTGCATTTGTTGCATGGTGTAGCTTTAACGGCACAAAGAGCTTGTGTAAGGGACATAAAAGCCCTGAGTTTCATCGGGTAGTCAAGAGATGGCAGAGAAAGAAGGTGAGAAACATAACAGGAAAGAAAGTGTGGAAAAGGGGATATATAGAAGTGTGAAGTGGAAGGAATTTTGTAGGGGGCACACATAGAAGGGGTATGTCTGCCTTCCAGGATCATGTAGAAATACATAAACTAGTGAGTAAGTGAAGGAC